CTGGTGCGATTTATGCGCCCGGAAGCCCTTTCAGCCTCACAGGCATGTCCCCACCTGCCTCACAGCCGCCGACGCATCTCACGGCGGGGGTCTAATTGCGTGTGCATATGGATGCTCCTATTCCCCGCCGCCTTTCTAGCAACTAGTAATGTTATGATGCATCGTTGGTCCGGCGTACGACGGCGCCTGGTGCGATTTATGCGCCCGGAAGCCCTTTCAGCCTCACAGGCATGTCCCCACCTGCCTCACAGCCGCCGACGCATCTCACGGCGGGGGTCTAATTGCGTGCGCGTATGGATGCTCCTATTCCTGCCGCCTTTCTAGCAGCTAGTTACTGTTATGATGCATCGTTGGTCCGGCGTACGACGGCGCCTGGTGCGATTTATGCGTCCGGAAGCCCTTTCAGCCTCACAGGCATGACCCCACCTGCCTCACAGCCGCCGACGCATCTCACGGCGGGGGTCTAATTGCGTGCGCGTATGGATGCTCCTATTCCTGCCGCCTTTCTAGCAGCTAGTTACTGTTATGATGCATCGTTGGTCCGGCGTACGACGGCGCCTGGTGCGATTTATGCGTCCGGAAGCCCTTTCAGCCTCACAGGCATGACCCCACCTGCCTCACAGCCGCCGACGCATCTCACGGCGGGGGTCTAATTGCGTGCGCGTTCGCATGCGGCATGTCCCGCCACCTTTCTGGCATCTAGTTGATGGTATGATGAATCGTTGTGCGGTGTAGGGCTGCGCCTGATGCGATTTCGTTTGCGGAAGCCCCCCCTGAGTGCTGCCAAGCATGTTATTCTCTCATGAGACTGCGTGAAGGTTTACGAACTGAGTATGCGACCAACACATAAAACATCGCATGCGAATTGTTATGTCATGCGATTCATCAAAGGTAAATCGTGTGTGCTTGTTGTGTGTTAGCTTAGGCCGCATTAAGCTTGACGCAACGAGCCTTCATACGCTTGAAACGCAACATTTGTTTGCATGCGAATTGCGTTGCGATATGTGTGCGTTTGGTAAGTGTTAGGCTGCGTTAAGCTTTACGCAATGAGCCTTTATACGCATGAAACGCAGCATGTATTAGCATGCGAAATGCGTTGCGAAATGTGTGCGTAAGGTGAGTGTTAGGCCGCGTTAAGCTTTACGCAATCAGCCTTCATACGCATGATACGCAACATGCATTCGCATGCAAATAGCCTTGCGGACTGTGTGCGTTTGATGTGCGAGTGGACGCGAATTGCTTTACGCATTGTCTCCCCACACGCACGAATCGCAATATGGAATCGCATGCGTATCGCCTTGCTACACATGCGCGTATGCTTCGCGTTTCAACATACGCACGGATAAATTGTTCAAGTCGATCAAACGACGCAAGTTTATTTGCAAATAAACCTTTACAATCTGAAAATTATAAAATTTTAAAAAACTTGGCCAGAAGGGCCGATTTCCGCTTTTCCATAGCCGTTGTGCGTTAGCTCTTTGCGTTACAAAAGCATGCTCATTCGCACCTAACGCTAAGATTCGCACCGTTACGCGAACTAACGCGAGCTAACGCGGACTTAACGCGATCACCCGTCGTCATAGTGGTTGCGCCTGCGATCGGCCATAGCCGCAGACGCGGACGCCGCAAATGCTATCTGTTTACACCCTACAGGCGTGGTTCACGTACGTATTCGCGTATATAGAATATCATAATAGAAATTATGCGTGTTCCTTGCGACTTGCGAGTTGCAAGTTGCGACTTGCAAGTTGCGACTTGCGACTTAAGCAGTACGCAAGAGTGCACTTCGCCTCGCACCCGCAATTTGTTTTGCAAGCCGCCATAAGATTGTGGAGTGGCAAATGCTTTCAGGCCGGTCTATTATACCATGGCACGCGTCTATTGTGCCATCTATATACCAATCGATACATGTATTATTGTACAATAATTCTACCAAAAATCCATTCCTCGGTCCTTTTTGATATATGATTACCCTATATATATGTAGACCATGAAACATTTACCGATGCGTTTAGGTGATACAGATTACAGGTGCTAACCCAAGCATTTCATGTGCACACGCACCTGGAATTTTTGTATAAAAACAAATTGAAGTAACAGTTCTTAATGGGGCCACAGAGGACTTCATCCAGCCGTTGGCATTGAAGCCTAGACATGCTGGCAACTTTGCACAGTCGGTAGCAGCTGCTGCAGCGGAACCAGAGTTGCTCAGGTCGTCCTTATCGTGGTCGGTGTCCGGAAGTGCAATGTAGCCATAAAAACTTGGACATGCTGTGGAATCAGGAAAGGGAAGTGCCAAACATTGTGTATGACTCATTAAGCTACCAAAAGGCATTGATGCTGGGAGTTTCTGCAAGGTGCAATAAGTTGTACTTATGCATGAACTACTTACCTTGCAATGTACACATCCACACTTGCTATTTAAATTTATTTACTATTCTGGCCCTGTTCACTGCTGTAGCGGGAACAGGAACAGGAAAGGGCCTGCACAAGCTACGTCATATGCATGTCACACTGCGGCACTACTGGAAACATATTTATTCT